GAGAGCATCCTCATCTGTGCCCACGCCTCCAAGAGCCAGTCGAATGACTTTCTCGAAGTATCTGTCAGGGCAGGTGAAGCACCGGATGATCGCCCGCAGTGTTGCAAGGAACTCATCCTTGGGGTCAGCTTTCAGATCCTGTTAGAAGTGAGCAGAAAAAACATTATCAGCAACCGAAAAGTCTCTAACACCCCGTTTGGATGTAGATATTGGGCCTCTGGATTTGATATTGGTATTGTGAACCTACCAATTCCACTGTTTGGATGGCTAAGAATTTTGAATTGGAATTCCAACCGAATACCAATTGGTATTGGCTTATACCTGAGCCTCATCATCTCCAATACCGAGCCCGAGGCCTTCATATTGTGCGGCATTCAGAAACACCCCGACGCACGGAAACCCCGACGCGCAAACCACGGAGGCCCCCGACTCCTTCCCCGGCGCCCCGCCGACGATAGGGGCCCGGCGCGAGGTGCCCCCTGCTTGCTACATTCCCAGGCGCCCGACGACGACGCGACCCGACGACGCGACCCGATGTGCAGGCCGCTCCCCGATGCGCCACTTCTTCCCCGACGCCGGCGCAGCCCTTCTTCTCCATGGCTGGCACTGTCTCTTCTAGTCCATGGCCGGCTGGGCCCTTCTTCTCCATGGCCGGCGTGCCCCTTCTTCTCCATGGCCGGCGTGCCTCTTCTTCTCCTTGCCGTGGCCCGCCGAGATCCGCCCCCCATGGCTGGGATCGAGCTCCCCCATGGCCGCGGCTGCCGAGCCTGAGATCCGCCCACCATGGCCATGGTCGAGCTCGCCCTGCCATGGCCCGCCGTGGTAGCCGCTGCCAACCTCTGTCCACCATGGCCAGTATCAAGCTACCCAGCGTTTCAATTCCATGCTTTTGCATCCAAACAGGAAACAGATTTGAGCTACTTGCTAGGATTCCAAAACCCAATTCAATGGTCATCCAAACAATAATATTCGAATTGTGGCCATTTCAATACAATGGCTGCTTTGGTATTGAACCCAATTCAATTCCAGCCCCTCCAATATCTACATCCAAACGGACCCTAAAAGAAACTATAAATAATTCCTCTTCTAGCAATCTACAAGCATTTGAATATTGCAGAAAACATGCGAATGCAGGGAACCAGAGCTTTAAAGCGACAATTCATTTTCACCTGGTTGACTGGTTGACGGATCATTTTAATGCCATATAGGTAGCCCAAAGGAGGGGTAGTAAAGAAATCAACCACGAAAAGAGGAGCATAGTTAAAATATACAGACATTTTTGAAGGGAGGTGGGTTCATAATGGAACGGATAATGAGAGTCACAGAGGTTACTAACAAGAGCTTGCTTATCACTATTTACCTTGTTGATTGCATGACCAAACTGATCCTTGTAGCTATTGAATGTTGCAAGTAGCTGAGCTTTGCTCCGTGTGGTGAGAATCCTGATGATCTCCTCGTCACTGTAAGCCTTCTTATCGATCTTCTCATGAAGAATTTTGGCTTCAGAATGGGCCAAAGATGTGTTCACCTCTGGGCCATCATAGCGATAAGCACTTACAAGAGGCACTAACAGCTGAAACGAAGAAATGATCATTCAGAAATTATTTTACCATCTTTCAGTTCTACTCTACTAATAGAAAAGGTGTTATTCAGCAGCCTCTATCAATTCAAAAAACAAAAACAGCATCCAACTTAATGAAGAGTAGCATGCAGACAGACACCAAATGGCCTAATTTTAGTGAAAGAAAGATAAAAGAAATCAGTATCTTATCTTGACAGATAGCGACCACAATTTTTTTCAGATGGATCATCTATTATTGCGGTTATGCTAACCAAATCAGCCGTATCAAGGTTGAGAAGAGTAGTTATATGTATCAGCAGTACCATCAGATATGTGACATCTTATCTTTATGATGCGCATTAAGCACTAGGCTAGCTAATGGAACCAAAAAACATAAAGAGTTTCAACAAAAGCTAAAATAGTACTCCCTCCGTCCCCAAAAAAAAATGTTCTAGGAATTTTCAGACAGATTAAGGGTGAATGAAAAAGACGTATGTGCCCTTAATTAGTTGAGTTGCATGTACAAGGTAGAGAAAATATATTCCCATTTAATCATGCATGTACGAGATTAACGCGCCATATTATGCACGCATGAGGTTTGAATCCCAGAACATCATTCTTTTCGGGACAAATTTTGAATTCTAGAACATCATTCTTTTTTGGGACGGAGGGAGTATCAGTCTAATAGTTTTGGACAAAGGTGTCACTGTACAATATCTACAAGCATGTTATGATGCAGTTACAAAATTTAGGTTCTGCATCAGTAGATATACCCAAATGCGATAAAAAGCACATCAAACTTAATTTCAAGATTAACATGTTGCCAATCTGCGAAATGACTTTCCCTTCAGAATCAAAATGCACAGTAATGCGAGATACAAGAGCATGAATCATCTGTTAGGTGACAACTGATAAGACACAAGCAGCGAATTGATTGGCCTACAGGTCGGAAAAAACAGATCAAGATCACCTATCGACAAGAGCGATCTATCTATATATGCAAGCAAACGTCAGATCGTCATAAAATCCGAGGCCCTCACCTTGCGGAAGTCGCCGGTGACGTGCGCGGCGACGTCCTCCTCGAGCGAGCGCTTGAAGCGGTCGTGGTACGCCTGCTTGGCCGCGAAGAGCTGCGCGGGCGGGCGCGCGCACGCGATCTCCACCAGAGCGCGGCCGCCGGGGTGCCACTTCTTCGCCTCCTCGTTCGCCAGCACCGCGTCCCTCTCCGCGGGGTCCAGCGTCCACAGGATCACCGCCCTCTGGGTCAAGGGCGAACCAATCAAATCAACCGATGAGCCAATCAATCGCGCGCGTGCTTTCGATCCACCGATCTGCTGCTACCTACCTCGAACTTGCCGTGGATCTCGTCGCCGAGAGCGCGGAGCAGCTCCTTCCCGTACACATCGGCGTAGGCGCGGCGGATCGCGCGGCGCTGCGCGGCGTTGCGGTGGGCCAGGATGGAGATGATCAGCTTCTCGTTGGTGCCCCAACCTGCCATCGATCGAAAATGCGGAGCGCGTCAGTCGTCGGCGCGTGCAGCGAGAGCGCGCGCCGGTGCGAGTGAGGAATGCGGTCGGGGGTCGGAGTGGGACCTTCGAAGGCCTTGTGGAGCTGCTCGCAGTCCTCGGCAACGGCCGGGACGGAGGAGGGGACGGTGAGCGTCGCCATTGCGTCGGTTCGGGTCGCGTTCCGATCGCTGTGCTGCGTCGGTGGGATCTGGGAATGGGATCTAGCAGCGGAGGCCGCGGTGCGCGCGGGGATCAGAGGGGTTTTCTGTGTGGGGTAAGGAGGGGTTTGCGGAGAATGCCTCGCCTTGACGATCGGGGTGGGGGCCAGCCGGCCAGCCAGCGAGGGGCACGCCGAAGTAGTGGTTGGCATTTGGGACCCGCCTCGCGTACGTGTCCCTGGCTCTCCATTATTTCCGGCCCGGTCACGACGTCTGGGTACAGACGCGCAGTGATGTTGATGGTGTGGCATTCAGCAGGGACAGTCGGACAGAGCAATGAGTAGAAGAAGCCCATAATAGACATCGTGGATTAGGTGTTGCTAAAATAGCAGCAACATCAACATGTGTGCCAGTAGTGTATAACCTGCGTAGAATGCTACTAGAACGTTCCGTGACAGCGCGGTCACGATGACACGATGTACACCTAGTTAAGCGCGTTGATACTGTTGTAAAAAAACGTCGTTGATGCTTTGTTGTTTGAATGAAGTCTGAAAATGCAGGGGACCCCGGCCGGGAAGAACACACAAGCAAAGCAACGCTGCGCAGGTCCGTTTTGGCCTCTCCATCACCTTTTGTGCCCATGTTGGTTTGGGCTCGTTCGAACTTATAATTTATTCTTTGAAAAAAAGATCGCTTGACCGATTTGATGTGAGAGACAAATATTGTTTGTTAGGCGATAAAGCGTCACGACTTATAAAATTTTCAAATACGACCAAAACGAACAGGCGATAATTTTTTTTTTCCCTCAAAGGGCAGCATATTTAACTTACCCGTGGCCGGGCAGCTTGCACCAGCTCGATGGATCGCATCTACTCCGCAGAGCGTAATTCCAAAAGTGGCATGCGCGAGCTAGTGCCGGACGCGCAGCCATGTGCATGTGCGGACCGGTGCATCACCGTGCGCAGTAGCATCATCCATAGCGAGGGGGCTAGAAAGGGCGATTTCGCTCTCGATCGATCTTGACACGATCTCAGCAAAATCGAATGCGTTTACTTCTGCCCCATTCTTTCAGTTGTGAAAGATGCAATAGCATCCAGCAGATGGAGACTGGTTACCATACCGACATTGTACAGGCTCACTCTACTAGGCCCCTGGTGCTAGTTGACACGCTTGAAAGTTGAAACTGGCTGCCGGCGCCAGGTGAGGTGACGAGAGAAAGAGGCGAGCGACAGTCGCTGACAGTTTGCTTACTATCGTATCGTATGTCTATTTAAGATATGACGGTTCGCAAAGAGCTCTCGGTATGAGCTTTATTAATTGGAGCTCACTGTTTAGCTTTTCTGCTTAAAGAGAGGTTTGTTAAGGCTCATCAACAGAGACTTTGTACGCGGTGATAATATCAAATCATGTGCGTGCTGATATTTCGGCTCTGAGCAACTCATCGATCACAGGCCAGTTACACTTCAAAACAAGCATCTCATTGCCAGTAGCTTGCGTTTGCCATCAGGCCCATCAGGAGCATACGGTAACAAAGAAACAAAAGCACCATGCATAGTACAGCGAAAAATACAATGTTGTAGTTTAAACTTAGCTCTCAGGTCCTGACTAATGCTATAGTTTCAATTTAAACTTACATAATTCAGCAGTTAATGACATGTTTTTCCACGAACTAGAAAGTGTCATCTAACTTACATAACAAGGATACTGGTTCAAACATGAAATCTTTCAGACATAAATAAAACAGAGCAATTCAGCAAGTAGAGCAAAAACTGCCTACTTCAACACGGTTACATCACCACCTGTGTATGCATATTTGACGCGGCGACTGCTGGTTGGGTGGAGGCTGGCTAGGACTCTGCGTTCCTCTTCACGTTCACGTTCATTCATACTACTTGGATCAGGCAATATCCACCTGCCATTCAAAATTTCCCCACAATGAAAATTGATGAGAAATTTATAAAGATGGAATGAGATGTATCAGCATACCGGTTTTGTATGTAGTAGTTGTCTTCAAGAATGTGGCGCTTCATACCAGTCATTGACCGATACTCAGTTTTGTCAATCAAACAAAAGCTAAGATATATAGAGAGAATTATGGTGACTGAATCTCCTTTAACCAGATAATCGAAATGTTCATACAATTACAGTCGCAAAACAAAACCAAATACTAACACTAACATGCAATTTAAATACCAAAAAAGAAATCTAATATACATACTGCTTTGTCTTGAAATATTGCAGGATTCCACGGAGATCATCAAAATAGAGGAATGGGGTTCCCATTTTCTTGTCATAGTAGTTCATACCAAGAAACTTCCCGTCGATATCAACAAGGGGGCCTCCAATCCCAGACTAACCAAGACATGGAGATCATCAGCTTTGCAAATAAGGCTAAGGTACTCATTCATGTAACATGTAAGTGGGCAGAAAGAAAATCAACAAATAGTACCTTACTGATCTTACAAGTAGAGTAAGAAAGATGCTCGCAATCAAAAGGGCCTGACCAGCAGGTTCGTGCCCCTCTTGTAGCCATTAATGCACCTGATTCAAAAGAACGGCCCACAGCTACTACCTTGGAAGAATAATTTATTGAACATTGTTCAAGATTCACATGACGAACATAACGGCAGTTCTTGACACTGACTAGAGCAACGTTGTACTGTAAACTACAATGTTTCAATGTCCCCTCTTTACTTTGATTGTTTGGAAGCAACACCTTAATCTGCAAATGATACAATGATACTTAAGCAGTATCCTGGACAAACAAGTATCACAGTGTAATTAGAAGCACCAACCTTCAGGCCCTCAACAATCTTATTTGAACCATCAGGATCCCTAACCAAGGTTGCTGAAGTCAGAATAGTCTGACATTCATCATCAAAGTCAATGAAAAATCCTGTGCATGAAAAAAACTTTGTTCCTCCTGGATACAGTAATTTTGATTATTAGCTACTGATGGTCATAATATAAATAGGAATACGAGTTTGGACACTACTACAAACTCACCATTGAACGAAGCAAGCGCAACAACATTTTTGATAAGAAAAGAGAAAACTTCTATTGAATTCACCCCAGACACCATCTTCAGGATATATATCACCAAAAGGACCATGATGAGCATTAAGCAAAGCAATGCCACCTGGTAAAAGAGACAACGGTATAATAATTGTCAGTTGTACAGCAGATATGTGAAAAGGCTCAATTGCCAGATAACTAAGTGTACAAGCATTGACTCACGATTGATCGTATCACTTGATGTACTGGGGGTAACCCTAGACCCACTCTCAGACTGTGCCTTGCTGGGAACATCCTCATATGCTGAAGAAAGAAGGCTGATTAACAGACATGCTAATTCTAAATACAGTAATGTAGCAATCACATAAGTTTCTGCAAATAGTATTGTATGTAAGATTAGAAATATATGACATATTGTGCAACCACTCATATCAGAAGTGACTAGGCTTGAATATACCCATGAACATCTCTATGTTTTAAGGAGAGGCTGATGTTCATAGTGTTGCAGATCTTTTCTGGACCAATCTATAGACATATGCTGTAGCATTTTATTCTACCAAACAATTGCACTATCTGCATGTGTATATGTAGGAAGAATAAGCAGACCTGAAACCAATGACTCAGTTGTCCCTCCTTCCCCACTGCAAGTTCTTTTATTCTCATTTGAGGATCTCGTGGGATCAGCAGCAGCTCTCTTACTTGCTACCATCTTTCAAACTGAAGCAGAATTAAAGAAAGTGAAATGTAGTCATAACCAGTAAAGTAATGTAGCAAATCCATCGCAGATCTAATGAACTGTTACAATTCAAGTTAACCAGTAAAGTAATGTAGCAAATCCATTGCAGAACTAATGAAAGGTTACAATTCAAGTTTTATGCCTGCCGTGGGTGATTGATCTAATGTTCAAAACTAACTTCATAAAAAAGAAAGAAAAAAAGAAGAAGCGTTACTTTTTAAAAACGAAGTGAAGCATCAACTTGCCGGTTGTTATTTTCACTTCTCAAATAATATCATTAATAATCAACTAGTTTCTATTCCAATAAGGAATACGTTGAGTGCTCAAGAAACGAGCAACATAAATACAACTTAACAGAGCCAAAAGCAAACAACAATGGATTCAATAAGACCTACACATAACACCCACTGACATGGAAATAAACAAACAAAAGCCAAATATCTCGAAGTGGTGGAGAAGTCCTGAACTAACTGATCGGTTTCAATGTTAAGAGAAATTGAGGGGAGCAGCCGCAGCAGAGGACCTTACAATCCAACCCTAACAAACAAACAACCCAAATATATGGTCTACAAAACCATCAAACTGTTCAGTCCTCCCAAAAGAAATTTAATAGATACAAACGGCTAGAGAAGCGATCAAACTAACTTAAAGATCCAAGAAAACCCAATCGTAACCTAACGAGGGATCGAGGGTAGTTGACCCAGATGTGGGAGCGGCTCCGTTGCAAAAATTTTAGGAAGAAATTATACACTTATAATCCAAGTATAAGATGCAGATCAAGATTCCAAAACGCGCCAGGCACTAGGCAGGCGCTAAGCCAGCGCCTAGAGACTAGGGTAACTAAGCGTAGATTAACGCGATTAGGCGAGGCACAGGCACAAATGAAGGCCAAAATCAGGAGGTGCCTAGCATCCACAATCAGATATGCAAAAGAAATTGAAACACAACAAGGCTGAATTTTGCTCCCAGATGGCCAAACTAGATAAGGAAGGCAGATCAAGCAAGGAGAACTCACGGGGAGGCAGCGGTGATGAGCGCGTACCAGAGGTGAAGGAGGAGCGAGGATGCGCGGGGGTGGCAGAGTGGGGCTGCACCTACAGGGACACGAGAACAGCGACGGCGGCGACGAGAGTTGCTCGAGTTCCTTCTTGTAACCCTAGCCGTCAGCGCCTTATCTACGCGCGTGTTCCCGCTTTCCCACTTCGCCACACAGAATTCAGAACCAAACAAAAAACACGCATCTAATCGAACTCGTGAACCAAGGACTCGTACATTCGCACTAGCGCTCATCACGGATCGAAATTAAGGTCAGAAGCACGAATGCACGATAGATTGGAGATCGGGGACTCGGGGGCTTACCAGATCGAGAAGATACGGGGAAGAGGCCGCGAGCGCGGCGGGGGAGCGCTAGGGAAGGCGACACGCAGCCCGAGGAGCCCGCTTCCCACTCCTCTCCGTCGCGGCGGAGGCGGAACCCCGACTCCCCGAGCCCCCGAGGAGGAGTGCGCCCGCGCCTGGGGCGCTCCCGGCGTCGCCGGGCTTCCGGTTCGCGCGCTTGCTTACTGGACCTGCTGGTCCCCCCATGCGTCCATGGCGACGGCCGACGGCCAGTTGAATTTGAAGAGAAATGGGCCTTGGGAAGCCAGTGTTCGGAGAGAGCTGGACTGGTTCGCAGCCTATTCAGGCCAGAGAGGCCGGGGTCCATAGTAGTATCTCTTTTTTTTTAAAAAAAAAGAAGTCCATTTCTTCTCCCATGGGCCTCGGCCCCAACTACTTAGCTGTAGTTCATACAAATTTCAAATTTAACTCTCTATAAAGAAGCCCAGCGGAAGCTGCGCCATGTCGACGACGTCAGTGTCGCGCTCGGGGACCTCGGATGGACATCTTCGACGGGCCCTCCTCCTCTCCGCGCAACAGAGAGGCCGCGCCTCCGCCTCCGAGGCCCGCGGGATTCCGGCCTCCATCCCCATCTCCAAGTTCGCCAGCGCCAGGGAGGGCGTGGCGCCTCCGCCCAGGGCGCCGGACCTGGACGCGACGGACCCGTCCGGGGCCGCCGATGGGTGGGCCGGCGCACGCGGTGCGGTGATTTCTTCTTCTTTAAAAAAAGTCCCGTGCAAACTAGCGTTGGATGTGTTTGGATTTGGATTTAGGTGGAGTTAGATTGGATGACAACATTAGGATTGGACTGGATAGGAGCGGTGATTTAGTTGGACGCTAATTGGATTCAGCAGGGACAGAGCAATGAGCAGAAGCACATCATAGACATCGTGGATTAGGTGTTGCTAAAATAGCAGCAACATCAGCATGTGTGCCAGTAGTGTATTGCCGGCGTAGAATACTACTAGAACGTTCCGTGACAGCGCGGTCACGATGTACACCCAATTAAGCGCGTTGATAATGTACCTCATACAATAGACGCGGCCACGGCAGGAGCATATGCACCGAGGGATAGACTCTTGGCGCAACAAATTGGTTGTACTCGAGTGGAGTTCCAGTCTGATTACAATGCAGGATGGAAATTCCTCGGCTACGGCTGCAGCGGCAATCTATGATGAATGTGCCATCTACTAGAAGGAGTTCATGGCAATTTCAATTAGTCATTGTAATCGAAGCTGTAATTCAGTTGCCAGCTAGGCAAGCTTTACTACAGAAAAGCTCTCATATTTGGGTAGATGATCCCCCTGTATCTATCCTACGATTGCTCGTAAACGATGTATCCATGATGAATCAATAAAGTTTGCTGAAGTTTTAAAAAAAAGCGCGTTGATAATGTTGTAAAAAAAGCGTCGTTGATGCTTTTGTTGTTTACACGAAGTCTGAATGCAGGGGACCCCGAGTACTGAGAAGAACACACAAGCAACCAGCTGCGCAGGTCCGTTTTGGCCTCTCCATCACCTTTTGTGGCCCGGTAGCTTGCACCAGCTCGATCGACGATCGATGCGGTCGCATCTACTCCACAGAGCGCAATTCCAAACGTGGCATGCGCGAGCTAGCGCGGGACGCACAGCGCCATGTGCATGTGCGGACCGGTGCATCACCGCGTGCACAGCGCCGGGCGCCGGCTAGCTGCATGATTGAGTGAGTGGAGACGAGAAGTACGACGGTGAGATTTCGATCGGGTCATTACGCGTCGAGGACGCTATGCTCTCCGGCCGTCTTCATAGATCATAGTGTTGTTTCTGCTGTTGCTCCGCCGGAGGCCGGACGGCAAACAATTTCTGCTCGGAAACGTTTCAATCACCAAATATGACTATTCGCACTACCTGCCGCGGGAACCTGGAAGTCTGGAACACATCACAGGTCTTAAGAGCTTCAAACAGGGTACCAATAGTTCTCCAACTACTGCCACTAGTGTACATAACTTGTTCCAGCAAGTGGCACGCGCACGTCTGTGCGACTAGGCCTAGGATCGAGCTACTTGTACCAAATTGGCAAAGAGTTTTTTTTTAACAAAAATTGGCAAAGAGTTTGGCAGGGATATAAACGGACCTACAACAATAACTGGTGCCAACTCAAATGAGCGAGCCAGCTCGCGGTTCCAGAAAAAAACTGAGCCCGGCCCAAACCCAAACATCACAGTTCTCGGCCTCGATATAGCGTGTTGTGTCGTTGCGAGCGTGCGTGCACACGGCAGACAGGTGACCGATGATGCCGTGTGGTCTGTGGTGTGCCGACCCAAAGAGAAAATTCAAACGCTCACGTATGGTGTGTGCCTCTGTGGTGTTGGCTCTTTGGAGGCCTCCTGCTTCGGGTCGAACTGCATGCGCTGGTGCAGACAAGGCCCGAAACTCTCCCCGACACGCCAATGGCATCGCACAGCATTCCTATGAGCATGTACGTCACGGTCTCAACGTCATGGCTATCATCACTGGTAGAGAACAGGGCTTTACTCTCGGTGGGCCCCTCTAGTCCCGGTTCTCCACCCAGGAGTAAGCATCCGGTGGGTAACACCAACCGGGACTAAAGGTCCTCCCAGCTTTAAAAAAAATAATGCCTCCAACCGCTGCGTCCCGTGAGATTCGAACCCAAAACTCCATGCATTGTCTCGTGCGTAGCTTACCACTCCACCTACACAACACATCTAACAATGGATGGGATGCTTCCCTTTTGAACTAACCCATCGGAGGACCTTTAGTCCCGATTGGTGTGCTGAACGCAGTAGCCGTTGAGCAGGGACCTTTAGTCCCGGTTGGAGACACCAACCGGGACTAAAGGTCTCTCTAGTCCCGAGCGCAAAAAATACGGGGACTAGAGTCCATTTTAGCATAGGATGAGAGGTATTCTCTACCAGTGCATATATGATTTGGTTCGTGTTCACGTCGCGTGCGTGCGTACGTAGAGTTGGGCACAAAAACCATAAAGACGCTCGCTTTGGATCGACGCAGACGTTGCCGCGTACAACTTCTATGCGTACGTACGTTGAGCTAATTTGGAGATCAGTAAATTCAGAAAACTAACCAAAACCCAAAGCTGGCTGCCATCGCATGCACATGGCTGTTTCAGTGTTTCTGACGGCCACACGGAGTCCTCGAGGGAAGACGAGCGCGTGCAATCATTTCTAGTTGCCACCAAGTCCCAATGGCTCAGAAACAAGATTGCACAGACCTAGCTTCTGTCCTTGCGGTCCTTGCCAGTTACATGATCACGTCCCTCTAGCTAGCAATAGCAAGCTAGTGGCGAGCAGATTTACACGCACATGCTGACATGCACGCCTCTGATCGAGTGAACTGCTGTAGCGCACCGCCAGCCACCCGATCGAACAGCTCAATCCCCACGTGAAACGTCATGTCGTGGCACCGGCACGTCAAAAGCACGGCGTGGCCGAACCGCCCGAGAACGGAGCAGGGCGACAAGTCCACCCTCGAAAACTCGGTGACGAGGCGGCAGCGAGCGGGGCACCCCAATCGTCAAGGCCACCACGCCGCCCCCAGGACCTCGCCTCGCCTGTCGCCACCTTGCTTGCCGTTGCCCTTCTCACGAAAGAGGCGGCCGCGTTCGGCGTAGGCGAGGTGGATGCGGATGTGTGGATGGCATAGCCCCGCCGTAGTACGTGGAACCAACCTGACCCTGATGTGATCGCGAGGGCCAGCGCCGATTCGACGTGCACGTTACCACGGTCGCGCGCGTCGCTGTCCGCATGACAGAACCGGGCGCGCGGGGCGCCCACCCCCTTGCCTTTTCTGGCGTCCCGTCGGCGTCGGGGCGCGACAGAGCTGTGCCGAATGTCCATTCTCGGACGACCGGGGCCGGGGCCGGGGGAGGAGAAGACACAAGAGTCCACTCGTCGTCGTCGTCGCCAATCGCATGCATCTAGACAAGCGTTCCGGCACTTTGGCACGCGCCTAATTCTCGTCCACCGAATGAATGGCTCGGGCGATCGGCGTTCGGCGCCCGCGCTGCTCCTATTTATGCGTCACTGTGCCGTCGGGCACGCAAATACTCAAGTTCCAAGCTCTGCGTCGCTGAACTTCACGCACGTCGTCAACCCGGTGGTTTGGATTCCGCATCTGCGATTTCTGCGAGCATCGCGAGTTCGAGACGAGGTATGGCTCGCTCCAGTTCTTTGGCTCTCTGGTACTCCATCATTTTGTTATGTGCTGTGTATTGTATTGTACAGTTGAATCTGCCGTTGGTTGTTTCGATGGTCGATCATTGCTTTCTCTTGGTTCTTTTTTTTTCCTATGATGAGTTATGTCTGAGATGTTAATTTCATTTTATCTTCGCAGTTTTTTTCAACCATCGGGATCAACGCGATGGATGACTTTTCTATGATCAGTGACCATAGTATGCTATTCCAAGTCCACAGCATGTTCAGTGCTGAAGAATGCCTAGTTACCCGAAGTTCTTCAGGCGTTCTTTCGACTGGAGGCAAGACCGTCCCAGCACCACTCCAAGATAAGGGGGATGATATGTTCTTCTCCGACTGGCCTGAGCTGGTCGGCTTTGACGATCTCGAGGAAAGCCTGAGGTAATCCCCGCGCGCTTGCCATGTTTAGCGTATGCCTTTTACCATCAGCAGCAACGCCACCGGTGTGTGATGCCTCAACTTTTTTTTTCCTTTCATTTTCTGAAGAAATTTCGAGCCTACGTTTGAGATAGGGAGCAATTATTTCGAGGACATACTATGGTCCTCTCATTGCTCACCAGAAGCTCAGCTAGTACGGAACGGCTACTCTGACGATATTGATTTCTCAATTGATCGAAACGACAGCAACACTATGAAGGTACTTAATTCCTGAATGATTACTTTCTCTACCCTTGGTATGATGCAAAGGATTTCCTACCAATTAAAGGTAGCTTCTCTTATCACGCCAAGAGTCCAGAACTTTGCCCTCGTCAATATCACGAGTCCAGATCATCCTTTTTCCTGAAAAGATTATACACTCAGTTGAGAAATTTTTTGATCTTTTCTCTCTTGATTGATCTATATGCAGGTAAATACGACAAAAACCAAGCAACAGTCCAGCAGAAATGGAGCAAGCAGTAGTGGTACAGCCTCGAATTATGATGCACATGGCAGCTCCTCTTCCGGTCTTTCGGATGCCGAACTCTTCCTCCCGTTTGATGATACAGCACTCGCGAGCCAAACGGGTGGCTGGGAGGGGCTAGAGGCTATTCTTTGTTCAAGTCCGGCAATGCGAGTAGTCCCAGTCCCAGCGGCATCAAGCACCATGTGCACCGATGGTTCGTCTACCTGTTGCTCAGGGCCAGACACCGTTACTGAGCATGTCCCTCGTTCTGCTGCGACGAAGACTAGAGACCCGTTTAATGGAGCTCCAGATACAATCCTGGAGGAGATGGCTGAAAACCCACTGGACATGTACTTTCCTCCACTGGCAACATATGAACAGCCTGAGACGATGTTGATGAGCGACACCACTTCAGCGCCGAAACATCAGTTCCCAGAAGAGTTTGCAGGCAGCAGCTGCGCTCCGAGCTGTGCAGAGTTACAGTTCGGTTCGGAGGACATGGGTTCTGCAGGATTACATGGGCACCTTGGCTCGGCAGTAGTTCTGGATGCCGTGCCAGTAAAGGATCTTTCCTTTCAGAAGCTTCAGTATGGCATGAATCAGGTAGGCGATTTACAGTTACTGCCACAGCATTTCGTAACTAACCATTCTCGTGATGCTGTTGCTGCAGTCTCCCTTTTCGTCATGTGAAGTTAATACTTACTTTTTTATATATATCCTTTTTATGTGCCACACATGCAGCTTGATCTGGCGACCAAAGGACGCATAAGGGATTCCCTATACCGGTTGGCCAACAGGCTTGAACAAAGGCATCGTCTTGCTAGTGCAAGTGGAGGATTGGGATCATCGGGTTCAAATAGGTACTACTCATATTGCGATTTTTCTTGAATACTCCGTACCATGCATGTCCTGATATAGATCCGTTAATTCGTCGAATCACTGCACTTTGTCCACGATTTCAGGTCTTTGAATATGTTTATAATGTTACGTATGGCAGGTTTGAATCAGGCAGATGGGCCGAGACGCAGACGAACCCCATGGATCAGACAGTAGCACAGCTCCTGCAGCAGAAACCCTCTTACCGGAAGACTGTCGCGCCGCACCGTGTGACATAGTTTCCTCCACCAGAGACCCTAGTCGCCTCTTGCATTGCATCAGTGCAAGGATTGTAGTACTTCCTCTGAAAGCCTGAAGCATGTAATGTATGATGATGCAGTATGGTCACCGAAGGGGACTCTGTAATATACTTGCGATGTGTATTATTTGGCTACTGGTCCGTCAATCCTAGGACGGCACAAATCTAGATTTTCATTTTCAAACTTTGACCTTGTTGGTTGATACGGATTTTTTATACTTTAAGTTGAAACTCATATCTTATTGTATCATTATTAACTCCACTTTTTTTTGTATTTTATGGAAAATAAACATTTTAGGTCCTAGATTGCATTTTAAGTACTACAATAGCATAAATCGTCATGTATCTTTCTGATTTTTGTGATAATTTTTAGATTTATTAATTAACTCTCCCAATATATACTCCATCCGTCCCTTTTTATCTGTCGTTCTCATTTCCGAGAAGTCAAACTTAGCCAATTTTGACCAAATATATTAAAAAATATTAATATTATAATACATAATTAGTATCATTAGATAGATCGTTGAATCATTTTTTACAATAAACTTATTTAGAGATACAAATGTTGCTACTATTTTCTATAAACTTAGTCAAATTTAAGAAAGTTTGACCAACATGCTTCCTGTAGCAACAGATAATAAGGGACAGAGGGAGCACTTAGCCTGTTTAGTGGCACATAGCATTATGCTTATTTTAATTTAACAGTGAGTGAAGTGCACAAATTAAAAAATATAAATAAATAAATAAATATATATATATATATATATCGTGTATATATAGCATATTTTACAGCTATTGAATTCTTCTGTATAATACCTTATATTAGTATATAAGTAGATTTGAATGCTATTTTAGTTTGTTTCATAACGGCATACGTGAATTATTTAGACACAAATAATGACGTTTGTTTAAATACTATTTCATGATGACGTATGTGCATAGTTTAGATGTAAATTTAAGGGGTTATTTTGCATTGTTTTTTATAACCGTAGATGTGGGTAATTTAGATGCAAATTTAAAAGATTACTTTAAATTATCTTTCATAAGACAGAGGCGAGCAATTTATATGCAAATTTAGGGGTATTTAGAGTATCTTTCATAGTAACAAAGGTGAATAATTTAGATAAAAATTAGGGAGGTATTTTATTATCGTTATAATAACAGAGGTGGATAATTTAGAGCATCTTCAAGAGTGCCCTATATCCCTTCCCCATACATGTTGTTTAGGAAAAAGGAGAAAAACTCATCTGCAAGAGTACCATATATCCCTTTCCTATCTTTTGGCACTTGGCAAACCGGCCTCCTTCACACGTAAAAATGCGCGCATCCAAGTCGTGCGGATCTGGACTTCCCCGCACCATCGCGGTCTCCCTCGTTGGCGCCAGGGGCGGATCTACAGGGTATGCCAGGCATGCACTGGCATACCCTGCAGGTCTAGTATGTATAGAGTATATATACATGTATATTTATTTGTAGTAAAATAGAAAAACTTGCAAAATAACTAATTGAGATTGCGCTGTGTGGCGTGAGGTCTTTTCATTTTCGAGGCCCACGACCTCACCCAGTGACACGCCTATACCAGCTACGGGCCGGCCTACGGCCACACGACGTCACTTGGAAGGACCCCACACGATGGGACTTTATGGTAGGAGTCCATCGATCCAATGCCGCTGGGTCTCAGATCGCCGCCGTCTCCGATCAACGAAGCCATACACGCGCTCTGGCGAGGCTACGAGGACACGACGTCACCACTAATCATGATTAAGATGGTCAGATTGAGGATCCGCCCCAGCTACTTCGTTGCTGCTGGTCAGCTGTTGTGCGTGCGCGACTAACGTGCTAGGCATAGATCTCGACTGCTAGCTACCGAGGTATTCCATCTCTGCTTTTGTCTCTTCTCTTTTATTTTATGTAAAAACATAACGCCTATTGATATTGCTAGGCAACGGCAATTGTTGATAGGGTATTTTGTACGATGATTTAGTGAAAGCAAAATTAAGAATTTGTTAAGAGGCATTTTTAAGTGAATAAAGATAATATAATCGAAACATTCACATCCCTTAGAAAACAGTTTAAAAAGTCAGATAAGTAGTATGATAAGTCTCTTACATACTCTCTTTTATGTTTGTATTTGTGACCGTTAATATGACGTTTGAACTATTTGTATTAAAATTTATGTCTTTCAGTTTCATACTTATCATGTAATTTAGTGTGTGTATATCAAATTACGTTTAATTTTACAATTATTACCGAATTGAAAAATAGTTTTACTAAATTATATATGAAAACTTTTGGACGGCGTACCTGAGTTCAAATCCTGGATCTGCCACTGGTTGGCGCGATATTTTTTTTTTGCCGCGACTCCACGCCGATGCACGCCGTCGAGGGGAGAAGTGTCGCCGCCGCAGATCAGGACAAGGTACGTACTATCTACTGCTCGATCATTGCCGATGTGTGCTGATTTGCCGGTCGTGATTTGCATGTACATATCACGTACGTGGCCGGCTGTTGCATCTCTGCCGCCGGGATCGGCCGCTGGATCTCTGCCGCCGGGATTTGCATGTACATATCACGTACGTGGCCGGTTGTTGCATCTCTGCCGCCAGGATTTGCGTGTACATATTGCGCACATGGTCCTGTGCTGCATGCTACTGAGCTGCTGGGCGTCTCCTGCTGGGCGGCTGGTACTGCTGCTTGCCGGCTGATGCTGCTGCTTCCTGGTGGCCGCTTGCGACGGCAGACGATTGGGGTTCGCGACCTCGCGACGGAAAAAAAAACCGCACATGAAGAAGGTATCGATCAAGATTTTGATTTTTTAAAGTCAAATATGAGGTACTCTTAGAGATAGCTTTCTTTTTTTTTTCTCTTAATACTGTTTTGGGAGTTGGAAAACGTAGAGTTATTGGGAGAAAAATATGGAACACTTTGAGAGATGCTCGAGGTTATTTTATATTTTATTTATAATTGTAGATGTGTATATTTTTTTATAAAACATAATGAATGCAATGATTATTATTGCCAATGATGCTTAAAGTTTACCAAATTAAAGGTCAGCTATTTTTAATTATTGTGAAAATTTATAGAGTTTATCTTTCCTCCTGCCACATCTCAGGGCAGTCCCAACGAAAGAAACTAGTAGTTTCTATAACCTAGGATATCGCACCAAAAAAGTACTACTTTCCAATTCATGATTTCTATGAGTAATAATTATTTTCTCTTTTTCTCTCCTAACTCTATCTTCTTCCTTCTAATGAAAGTGCGACACGAGCCCCCTAGAAACTGGTGGTTTCTCCCCAATGGCGATTTTATGGTTTCTTGGTGCATTGGGTCAAGAGTAGACCTGATTTCTTCATGAAAAAATCATTTCTATGATTTTTGCTCTCTTTCTTCATTAATTACGTTGCCATGTTAACATTTTACCTACGTGACAAATCATTTAACGAGAATAGAAATCATCATCAATACACCGTTGGGACTACCCTCTTAAGGATTAACGTGACTGCGCTTGAATGCTGGAAGCGCACAGTACATGTCGCTTACCCGCCTCCCCCGCGCACGGTGTGCTGCTGCCGGCGTCGCTACCCGCTAACCGCCGCGGACAACGCCACGACGTCATTGAAAAAGAGAAGGGATCCAAATATCCAATCGAGACCCACCACCGAACAAGTCCAAATCCGCCCGTCTCCCCTCGAAGTCACTCCGGCGCTCGCCGGCTCCGCCTTCTCCGGTTCTCCCACCCATCCAAGCGCAGCTCCGGAAGCGCCAGGGGCGGACGAGCGCCTCCCAAATTTAGCAGCCGCGGGGCGCGTGGGCGTGGGCCCGTAAGGAGGATCGATGGGGTACCTGCCGTCCCTGAGCAGCAAGGCGGCGCACTTCGTGTCCGACCTCACCACCGTCATCCTCAACCCCGTCTCCGAGCGCGAGACCTCCCACCTCCCCGTGAGACACCGGATCCCCGCTCCCTTCCCTTCCCTTCCCCTCCCCTCTCGTGTAGGCGATTCGGTCCGGTTTTGAATTGGGGTCTCGCACGCGCTCCCGATTCGGGCGGTTGGGCGACTCGGGCTGTGGCATCCGCTCAGGTAACGAGTGGTTTCGCAGCTGGGGCGTCCTATCGTTAGGGTTTGGTGTGCGATTCCTGGGGGTTTTAGTGTTGATTGTTGCTAATTAGGATTGGCTATGGTTGGTGGAACTGTTGCTAGCTTGGCAAGCGCTCTTGTTTAGTTCACGCAGAGGATTTTCTTCTGGTATGAGCTTATTCAGAAATTGGAGCTCCAATGCAGTTAGGGTGTTCACTGGGCCAGTCCTGAAATAATTTTGGTTTAAGGATGTTTAGAAGATGCCTATGGTATGCAAAGGGCACACTGATATAGGTTAACTCCATCAATGTATCTTGCATTTCCTGTGCGTTTTCACTCACTTATCATGCGGGAAAGTTCTGATGGAAACCAAGTTCTATCCGCCCTTGGTTAAATTTTCAATTAAGTCTTTTTATGATGTCATTGAGTGGCTGATAGATGTAGCTGCAAGGCCAAAGTTGATCAGATGGTATTTTGGTAGCTTTCCATTTCTTTATTCTTTCTTTTACTCTTTCATGCTGGATTATGTTGCTTGTCGCCAGAGGATGATTTCTGTACATGTGTTTGGTTCCAGTTAGTACTAGCACTTACTCTCAAGTCTTAACCATATCAGATTTTCACTCATCATCTCATGTTACTGAAAGTTCATATTTCAATTTCTTTGGAATTTTGCAGGAGGTTGACGAAGTGCAAGAAAATTTGGAGGATGATAAAGATTCTGAGCACAATTCTGATAGCCTTGATGGCCCTGACACCTCTTCCTTTAGAGCATTCTTGATCTCGTTTTTGTCATCATCGAGCTCTAATACCGATTCAATGGAGATAATTCCTGAGCAGAACGGGGACATGGGTTACCCTACCTTAACACCCATGGGTAAGGGAAGCAAGGGAAGAACAGGTCTGATAAGTAGGGGGAAGCATTCCATCGGTAAAATCATTAACAAGGCGGCAAGGATTGGTGGTTTCAAACAAACAACTGCAGAGCCTAAAATTGACAGGGAGGCAGTAACTCATACTGAACCAGATCAACCTGTATTGGAGCGCCAGGAACCAAAGGAAGCTGCTTCCTTCAGTAGTTTGCCAACTATATCGGAACCATCTGTTCTTTTGTCAGAACTGATGCGATCCATTCTTTATGCCTCTCTCCCGGTTCTTGCCCAGGGAAGGAACTGGGTCTTGCTATACAGGTTTAAGATGTCTCCTATTCTGATATGTTCTAACTTCTGATCATGCATGTCTACTGTTATCTAATGTTTATGTTCATAGTTGTGCAGTACATGGAGGCATGGCATATCTTTATCTACTTTATATAGAAGGAGCATGCTTTGCCCTGGTTTCTCACTCTTGGTAATGTTACTGTTTCCTAAGTAGATCAAATGTTATGGCTTTTCACTATTACTTAAGAAACGGCAGCCTATTTCACCTCCACAGTTGCTGTCTGTTTCATATTTTTAAGCGATAGATCTTATTTAACTCCATAAGTTACTATATTGTTGATGATGTGGATTTTTATGGGCATCATAGCATCATCTGATATAATTTCAAATAGAAAAAGGTGCCATAGATTGCTTATTGCTACTTTTCCATTCTTCATCTTCTGATATTATGTTACATTACAGGTTGTTGGGGATAGAGAAGGTACGGTTTTTGGTGGTTTAGTTGAGGCCCCATTGCAGCCATCCAGTTCAAAGAAGTATCAGGTTTTTGCCTTAACATTTTGATAAATTGTTTGGTAAAAAAATTCTTGTGCTGAATATTCTGCAAATTAATCTTGCAGGGGACCAATAATTCCTTTGTTTTCACTAATTTACACAATCGCCCTGTCATATATCGACCCACAGGTAATTTTCAGTTTTATCCATTTCATGTTATTTCAGTGCATTTAATATAACAATTTACCAATGCCGCTGTGACTTTGTTGTGCATTCTGAGAACTGTTTTTCTTTGTGTAAGCTATTGAAAAATTACTTACTGCAGGCGCAAATAACTATTTTATGGAGTCAGATTTTTTTTTACCCATGCACTTAGGTGGCAGTCTAGTTTGAGAATTGAGTAGCATTTAAATATTTTAGGCCGTGTAATTTTAATTATGCAGAGGTTGGAAGTGATGTGAAGACCGGTTGTATCACCTTGATGTAATAGTCTTGTTTCAATAAGCTTCCTTTATCTAAAAGTAAAAAACTTACTGCAGGCGCAAATAACTATTTTACGGTGTGCTCCACCGACTATATGGCTCTGGGGGGAGGTGGTCATTTTGCACTTTATCTTGATGCAGACCTGTAATATCTCGCACCATCTACGACTGGTACACAAGTCATTGTTAATTTCCGCATAACTCACCTGTATTTTCTGCATTTCTCTTTGCAGTTTGACTGGTTCAAGTTCTAATTCAGAGACTTTTAACAACGGGTGTTTATCGCATTCTCCAGACTTCTCAGTGAAAGATGTTGAGGTATTTAAAACATTCGAGTATTGTGCTTTGGGACTTTCTTCCTGGTGAACATAATTACATCCATATGATCAAGAAGCTTTCAATTTTAATCTATCAACGTAAATAATTCTCCAAGGACAAACATAAAGAGCCCTTTTATGGCCGTCCACATGTTGTCCGAGTTTGGGAGAAAGGCACTATTTACATACTTTAACTGTTCTTTTCTCGTTTAATGCAGCTTTGGGGCTTCGTCTACCCTTCCAAATACGAGGAGATGCTGACACTCTGTCGGACTGAGAAACCTGGAATCTGTCGATGGTGACCGTACCATAGCCGAACTGCCAAATAGACATGCCACATCTGTACAGTTTTTAGTAGGCTTTGAGATTTGCGAGCATTTTTGTGCGGACCAGATAGTACTGGAGACTTGCTTTTCTCAAGCGAGTTTGCTCAGATTTGTAAATACTCTACTTTTGTTACTGCCACATGGCGAAACATGGACGTTACTGGTTGTTGTTTCAGTGTTCGGCATATTGAGGTAAACTGTCACGGGGGGATCAGGCTGCTACCAGGATTCATGAAAGATAAACAGGCGTCAACCTGTTCAAAGCCAGCCATCTAGATCCAGAAGCAATCAAATTAAACGTGCACCGATGAATGGTCCTCACTCAGAACACTGCATAATCATCATTTTAAATGAATTGAAGTGCAAAAATACAACGCCAAAATCCTGCAGTTAGTGGCTATTCCAAATGTGCTGGGACGCAGCATCAGATTATCACTCCGTATAGCGAATATCTAATAATACAATCAAATGTTCTTCAACTGAGCTTAATCTCAGAACCGAATGGAGGTCCTACAGCATTTCTGATTTGCTCGCATGATCTGCACGGGTAAAACTGCAATTGCAAAGAATAATTACGCGACCATAACTAACGAGCACTGCAGTACTGCACGATATATCTCGTCCTCACGAAACAAGTGAAAGCACAGTTACACAAGAAACGACAGCAACAGACAGTCACCAAAGAGACTTTTATTATCCGAAGTAACAAAACACCAGCTTCAACATCTGAGTGAACCCACCAGTAAAAAAAAAATACTTCAGGTGGTTTCACAAGCTAGCAGAAAATCATTAAAGAGACTATTAAAATAGTGCGGCACTAATATAGACTCCCTCTTGCACCATTGACTCCCTCTTCCACCATTCTGGTACCTCATCAAGCAGCCTGGGAATAAAAACGGAAGCCACTTGACTCTGCGAGCAAACCCTCAGGATGGTAAAGAACGGATAGGGGTTGGGGTTTTCTTTTTCTGCGCTGGAAGGGTAGCTAATTAGCTATACATGAATGAAATATCTACAGTACTAAGTTGGAATTTGCCTACGACTGAAAAACTGTTGAAAATCGACCAAGTATTTCCTATCATGACAGGAGGTTTCCTATAACTCGAAGTATGACGCCATGTACAGTCTTACTCCAATGTCCACCGCACAATCCTCACCACCAATTGCATGAAGAACCACAGGGATGTCACTCAGGTAATGTATCACCAAGGGCAGAACAGCTGGAGCGGCCTGAGCTTTCACTGCGTCGCCACTCAACAAAACAGACTTGGCAGTGCAGCCGCCAGCTTCTGTTGCCCCTGATTCCTCATCTTCTTCAGACAACTCTGAAGGGTTCACCACCATCGCGACTTCCTCAATTGGTCTGCACTTCATCTGAGTTCCCCTCCTTTGAGCAGGCTTGTTCCAGCATGCATCAAGCACTAACGTTCCAGTGGCTTCGAACCATTCAACTGATAAGCCCTCAACTTCATCATAATATATCCTTCGTTCCATCTGCATCATAAAATCGCACTGAGGTGAGGAAGAAGAAAAATGAAACAAGTGCTCCTTTTATATGAGGGTTGGCAAAAAAATCATACTGCAAGCTTGGGCACATAAACTGACATGAATCTGGGTCCAAGCCCCAGAACTCTAGCATTGCAGACAACCACCTGCAAAGATAAGAGTTAAAAACAGCAGAATTCAAAATAAAGCTCACGGGAAAACTTACTTGAAAGCTGGAAATGGTGATGCACGAATTACCTCTTTGTTCTTTATCAGAGCCCACATGTAGAGCTTCTGTCCAGCATCTTCTGCACGGCGACCAGCCCACTTTCTTTCATTACAGTGTTCAGCAATCTCCCCGAGATTTTCAGAGTAAGGAACCTTAAATTTCTTAGCTGCAGCAGAAAGTGCTTTTTTTCCTTCTTCAGATTCAGCAGCATCCTTGCACAAATGGAGGCCTGTAAAACATCTATCCATCAATTCACAAGAGGCTTTGACTCCATTCTGGCCTGTGGAAAATTTCTTTTGCTTCATATACACTTGTTCAGCCTCAATCACCGCATTCAGAGTCCTGTGAACAATTATATCAGGATATCTTCGAAGCGGTGAAGTGAAGTGTGTATACAAAGGGACAGACAGCGCATAATGTGCCCAATCATCTTTCTTGCTTATCAGGTCCCCTGTGCAAAAGTATTCTGCTGACTGCATTTGCTTTGAAGCATAAAACATGAGGATATCAAACATAACAGGATCCTCTTGCAACTTTTCCTTTATTCTAGAGAGTGAAAGGTGGAGCTGACCAGATGATGAAGCATCCAATTCAAAACCATTCTTAGCACAAAATGCCTCGAACTCTCTGAACTTCCGCAAATTAGGTTCAGGGTGCCTACGAAGTAAGGCACAATCAGGGAATGCATTAGATATGACTTCTGCAGCTGACATATTCGCCAACAACATTAGCTCCTCAACAATGAAGCATGCATTGTTCCTCACATAGCGATAGCTATCACATGGAGCCCCATCTTCATCAAACAAGATCATAAGCTTTGCAGTGTCAAGAGAAAGAGCTCCACCCTTGAACCTAACTTCCTTCAGATTTTTTGAGACCTCATAAAGGCCTCTAAGTGACTTGATAACATCATCTCTCTCAAATTTACCATGTAGTTCAAAAGAAGAAATAGCAGATCTAGCCTGACTGGCTTCATTACAGATCAAATCCTGCACAAGCTCATATGACAGCTTGCAGCACGAAAAGATGATGCTTTGACCAATCCAGCGACTAGTTATGTTACCATGAGGATCAATATCCCAAATAATTGAAAAGGCAAGCCTGTCTACACCTGGATTAAGCGAAACCACTTCTGAAAGTCTTGAAGGCAACATTGAGATTTTGTGTTTCAGGGTGTAAACACTAGTAGATCGGCTTTGAGCTTCAGCATCTAACGCAGTCTCTGGATGTATAAAGTAGGAAACATCTGCGATGTGAACCCCAATACGGACAGTTCCTCCTGAAAGTATTTCAATTGATATAGCATCATCAAGATCCGATGCAGTAGGAGGGTCTATTGTAAAAGACAAGACCTCCCGCAAATCTTTTCTTGCTTCAAGTTCTTTTTGAGGAATCTTCCAACAATTGTCAGGAAGACATGCCAAGGACTCGGGGGAAAACTCAGCATCAGATATCGCATTCTCAAATAATATAGCATCCATGTGTGTTTTAACATGACCACCCTTCCCCAAGAACCATATAACATGGGCATAGGGATAGAGATTTTCCTCATTCCATTCATCAATTCGTGCAGCAACCAATTCCTTCTCAAAAGCTGCATCACCCCTCAGGCTCTGTCTGACACTATCTGGCAAAGTGCTAAAACTCACAACCATCGGAGGGAATTTGGGGTCAGTAGGCAAGAGATGAAACAGGCCTGTAACTGATGATGCTCTGTTGTTCATCCTCTTTAGACCCATCTGATTTTTCTGCTGCTCTCCATCAGGGAACTCTGAGAAAGAAGCAAGGAAACCTACAATGGCATCACGGCGCGGAGACTTCTTAATGACTGATAATACTTTCCCAGTAGGACGTCTGCTTGGATGAGAATATATCATGGCACAGATCCTTTGTAATGCTCTCGCAGCCTCACTCTTTCCATCATTCAAGTCTTTCTCATTCCTTTCAGGGACAGTAGCATTCCCATTTCCACAATTAACAGCTTGACTAAAACCACTGTTCTTGTGAGGGGGATGCATCCTATCCAAAACAGGTACGCCATTACTGCAATTTTCAAACCTGCAGCCGACATCTGCATGTCCTTTCTTCCAACTATGATTCCCATTTGTTTCACTAAACTCACGGACCACAGAATCTCCTCCTATCGCAGGGTTGCATGCAACATTCGGACCTTTCATTCTGGTCCATTGAGCAACAGGGTCCAGTGTGATAGCAACATGATCACCCTCAACCTGCAATGTAATTCATGAGATAACATGATGCTGTGAGTTCAAAATCCGCGTAGCATAAATAGGCACAGCTAGAGAGCAGAATGGTACAGGCACTGCAGGCATTGGAACTCAACCCTTATAACAAACCATATGTTAAGACATTAAGATAAAAAAAAAGCATACAGACATATGCATATCACCTATAGCACTAGTTGTTTGTTTAGGAAGCATAATCTTTGTTAGGAGTACTGGTAGAGAAATAGAAAAGCCTCTTGCATGCAAGACGAAAGATAAAATGTATTGAATGAAAGGATGAAGGGAGAGCGCCGCACCTGCAGCAGAACACTAAAACCCAATAAAAATGATCAAAAAGGTAAAACTAACAATGCAGCTTTGTTTGAGTCATTTCCAAAAGTAAAAGCTATTGTGGTAATAATTCCGATGGTCACATGTTATTCCCAGAAATGCCAATTGGTACTGGTTGCAGTCCTGACTAAGGGCAGTCCCAACGTGATTCGATGGGTTGTTTCCATGTGCATTAAACAGCTTGACAACTAAGCAAATAGCCGACGTGTCAACATAATTAAGGAGGTGAGAGAGAAACGGTTTCTCAGGTGGGAAATGGAGTCGTCCCGACCTCCAAGGTGTGAAGAAACCACTAGTTCCAGCATTGGAGCATCGTGTCGTTTCCACCATGTGGATCCGTCTTGTTCTCGCCGTGCTTGCCGGACGGGACTCCACCTACGCCAGTTGCCGTACCGCGCTCCTGGCTGAGCGCCCTGCCCACCGCTGCAACGCGAGCCCCGCCAGCCACCGTGCCACGCTCCCGGCCGAGCGCCCTGCCCGCAGCCGCGAGATGGGCCTCGCCAGCTGCCGCGCCGCACTCTAAGCCGTGTGCCCCTGCTCGCTGCCGCGCATCCCGCCCGCCGCCATGCTGCTCGTATGGCCAGTAGCTGCAAGCCTGCAACACGAGCCTCGCTGGCTGCTGCGCACGCTCCTGGACTGGACGCAAGCCTAGCCGGCCCCGCCGTGCGCTCTGCTGTGGCTGTGCC